TATGGACTTAATGCATACATATTATTAAAATATGGGCTATAACAGTTGTATAGCAACTTGAAATGCTCCCACAAATGGCACTACAGCATGTAAAAAAATAATATAAGCTCTGGCGGACTTGGTTCTATAGTAGGTCTTAAAGGGTTAAATAAATATCGTCAAATAATCGAGATCTCAATTTCAGTGAAAATAATCGTGCTTATCATTTTTGCCATAATCGAGCAGCCCTATACTAAATGCAAAAATGTGCCACATGTACTTTGAGTATATTTGGAGATTTTTACAATAACTAAGGCAAACACTTGCTCCCAAATTAGCCTCAACACACAACGAACTGAATGGTTTTTTATAAACATATCTGGTTTGATAAATGATCCACTCCTTAGCTGATGACAGATAATTGATTCTTCTATGGGGTTTATAATCCTTTCCTTTCCTGAATGACTGAAAATCAAAGCCTATGAGCCAATTTCTGAGGTTTAAATGCACTGGTTGCCAGCTCATCGGTTTCTCCTTAATACTTGGGGAATGATATATGATTAAAAGTAGATCAATGGATCACAAAAACCTATAAATCAATAAAGAGTCGGCATCTGATTACCTGTAATTTGAGGAATGTGTGCTGGTGAAAGCATTAAAGAAGAACAGAGCAGGAGAAGGAGGACTAGTTGCCAGCTCATCGGTTTCTCCTTAATACTTGGGGAATGATATATGATTAAAAGTAGATCAATGGATCACAAAAACCTATAAATCAATAACGAGTCGGCATCTGATTACCTGTAATTTGAGGAATGTGTGCTGGTGAAAGCATTAAAGAAGAACAGAGCAGGAGAAGGAGGACTAGTTGTCTTCTTCAACTAGTCTCACAGTGATTCTTGTGACCTTGTGTCTGTAGATGGTGAATGTTCCTCCCAAAACAGATGAGTCACATTAAAAGAGATTGCGGCAAGGTTTTTCTTCTTTAATTACCAATCCTGGCTAAAAGCAGATGTGGAAGAGTTTTTGTTTCCTTTGAAGCTTTGACCTTGCCTTCAGACTTCCTCACTGTTACACTCTCTAGAAGTTGGCAACTTATTGTGGGAGAAAAGCTCCCTGCACATCTTGCTGCCCCTACTATCGGCTCACATGGTTATAAGGCTTTAAATTTCAAGTCAAGCAGTTGGGAAATCTTACTAAAGGATTCTTATTACCATTTCTGCATCTCCAGCTAATTCTGTTACAAAGTGACAGTGACGCCAGGACAAAAACCTGTTGCATCGTGAAAACAAAGGGTTTCAAATTTTAAAGATCTTTGTTGAATGATGAAGCAGATTTATGGCCATCTCTAAAACCTCACTTTCATGTCTTTGTGGGTTTAAAAACCAATTTGATGGGGTGCTGTTTGCTTTAGTCCTCTAAATGTCAGAGAAAAGCAACTGTCCAACTGAAGCAAGTATTTATTAAGCAATGGATGTTGTTTTAATCTAAAGGCATCTTAACCAAATAATTCCACAGCACCCATAGTGAGTGACCGAGGAAGCGGTTACCGCTGCACTACTAATCTTGACTAGTTTGGAACTTATTCTACTTCTTTTCTCTATTTTTACAACAAAAACAATTAAAGTGTGAATGCTGGCCCTCTTGGTCAGGTCTCTCTTTCGCCTTGATAAATAAAAGATTAATTTAAAGAATATAAATATTTTTCATTTGCAGTGCATTAGGAGAGCTAAGGATATCTCACCAAAAACGATGTCGTGTGGTGGATTATACAGACAGAAACCTCAGAGACTATGCATCATGTGGAAAAGAAAGCATACCTTCTTTCAAGCCCAAATCATCTCCCATCCAATACCATACTTGAGATTGGTACGAGGATTTTCTGGTTACATGCCGTGTTTCGTTTTCTCCAACCGTGGTGCAGTGAATTATAGCCAAACATCTCCACTTTCTCTACAAGTATTGTGGTTTGTTCAGATGCAACTTAGCAAACCTAAGTTGTGCTGTTATTCAGAAAGGTAAGAGGCTTTTTCCTGTCAATATTTACTGGCAGGCCATACCTGTTCAATCTTTTCATCGTGTTCAGTCATGAATTTTGACATTTAGCATGCTATCTGACATCTAGAGTAACCCTTTCCAGATTGATGGGCAGCAACAGTTGTTTCTTCAGGCTCATGGCTGTTGTCTTTCCTGTTTGGCGTTGTTCTAATGCACACCTGAAAAATCCAGACCAGCAAACTGCCAAAAGTTTTGCTTTTATAGGAGGTGCTTACGCCTGCCCTGCTTGTTGATCAGGTAATCCCGGGCATTTGAATCAAGTGCATCTGGCTGCTACTTACTACTTGTATTCTGGCTTAATTTTTGTATCATAAAAAAAAGACACTGTGTAGTATGTCATGTGTTGTTGTACAGCTGAGACGGATTTATCCGTCTTTTGCTGAGGACGAGATTATTTTTATTATATTCTTGCACATAAAACGTTACAGTTACAGACAGAAGGTGTACTTTTTCCCCACATGACTCAAGATTACATAGTTATAAATCCTCATAGAAATACACGTGCGTTAAAAAAGTCAAATCAATCTAAACTAGCAACAACACTATCTGTTCCCAATTATTTGTCAGAATAAACAAAATCTCAAGGCCGTGCCGTTCCCTTATCCTAAAACCTTACAGCCTCCCTAAAAAATCAGGAAAAAATGGCCTTTGCAAAAACAGTCCTGCCTTACTGCACACGGCAAATACGTGGGGATGTTGGTGTAGGATAGTGCCAGAGAACGTGCAAAATATTTCACTGAAATGCACCAGGGAAGTGTTCTGTCTCAGACGATATGCAAATACCTTTCAGAAGAAAATTAAACACTTCAGTCGGCAACAATTAGAATGCATAATTTGAGGCTTCTTTGCACCACTTGCTCAGTTAAACATTAATTAACTCAATTACTTAGTCTCACTGTACACTTTAAATTGATCCAGAATGCAATACATTTGAATCTTCCAGGCTTATTTGTACAACATAATCAGGAATTATTCAAGATGGATTTAATAGATACAAAGGGAGACTTCTGAATTTAGTGTAAGCCAAGACAAAAGCAGTACTAACTTCACCTGCCTGACAATTCCAGATAGATCAACAACAAAAAAGTAGAAATATACCTGAAGATCTGTTCCAATAGAAGTAATAAGTGATACATTTCCTGAGTGGCTGTAGTTATTTCCTTCAACTAATTTGAAGGAACTGCACTGTAATAGTCGGTATTAGCTGTATTGTTATTTCCTATTGGCATTTTAGGGTCCGTAATGAAATGGAAATAGGAAATACTAATCTGTTCTCTAATTATTAGGCATTAAGACAATTGTATGAGCAGATAATAGCATTACTGACTGAAATAAGCATTTCCACAAATAAGACGTCATCTACCTGTGTTAGTGGTCAGTACTTCTCTGTTTATGCTGATTTGTTTTCCTGGCACAAAACGTTAATATTCAAGGGAAAAATAGACAGGAAAAAAAGGTATTGTTCTGCTTCAGTTATCTATCAAATTGCTGTTTTAAACATCAGTATTCCACCCAGGAATTCACAACTGATGCATCCTTAATTTTAACTAACGCTTCCCTCATGCTAAACAGCAAAAACAGTCACATTTGTTTGTATAGCTCTATTCAGACACAAGGAACATGGAGTACCTCAGAGACATTTAAATCATGGCTACAGGTGATACAGGATGCACAATCAATCATGACAGAAACAGAATAACAACAATTAGAATCGAAGGACAAACAAGACTAGAGTTGTTCCTGTGGTCACAGATCTCTACTTATATAAATCTGGCATGTTAATCCCTGCCGTAGAAGTGATCATCATTGCAAATAAGTGTTGTTTCTTCAAAAAAAAGTCTCACAAAGTGTGAGAGGAGAGCTCTGATCACCTCCCCTGAACAACTTCTGTAACTCAAAAAGTCGATAATAAAACACCACTTCTCTCTAGGTCGAGTCAGTGCACACTGGCCTCATGTTAATTTAATTGCTAATATTTAATAGTCTACATCTTGAGACAAGTCAAGGCCACAACTAATGACTGCACTTATTATCATATTATCTGAAATTGTGTGCTGAAGTAAAATTTCCTCATTTTCCTCACCCAGGCTGGAGTCAAAGTAAAGCTATTCAGCTGTCAAAATTAAAAGAGGGATAAAAGCTTGTTATATTTGCCAGACCAAAGCTAAAATAAATGAATTTTAAAAAAGCTTAAGGGAAGAAAAATGACACCAAATCATCTGTAAAAATAAGATCACACAATCTTAAGCTTCACTTCTTACCTGCTGTGCCATGGACCAGATAAGTATAACTGACCTATTAGCACCAGAGCTAACTGTTTAAATAGACGACCCTGGAAATAACTACATATCTTGTATGATATGCACAAAGGAAAGGAAATTCTTCCTGTGAGCTTGACCCTAGCAGAGCAGACAGCTGGCCGATAGCAGCCTCTTGTTTACACAGTGATAAGTGCTTTTTGAAGTGGCCTTGTGTTCACATTAGACTTGTTGAAATGGAAAACACTGATTCTCCACAAAAGTGCACGCAAAATACAGAAACGAGAGACCCTACAGCCCTAATGATCCAAGAATACACTGGAGGCTAACAGACCTTAAACGATAAAGGAACTAGTAAGATAGTTTGCGTATTAATAGCCTCCTTGCAGTTAAATCATATCCATACGACCTTAAACTTTTAAAGAAGCTTTTCAAAGATCGATTACATCCAGTTAAGATCTATGAATGGTTATTTTTAAAATACACTGGTCAGCTAAAGTCCTTAAAAGCCTATGTAGTGATTTCTTGCTGGAGTTTATTCTGACCACCTGTTATCTATGTTATCTGTATTTTATGCGCTTTCTACTACAGGTGCGGGCCTTGTTGCATTGATATTTGACCCCGCAACAATAAATCTGAGGGACAGCGGGGAGTCTGTGAGCGTCCTCTGCTTCAAAACGTATGTAAACGCGTGAAAAATAGTATTACCTGTTCCTTCAGAAACACCAATGGCAGGGGAAAGTTTTCAGGCCGACCCCACCGAGTCCCCTCGTGGCGTCATGCGTGGGTAAAAGTGTAAAGTCAAGTATTAAATAGGGCTGTCACGAACCGCTTAAAGTCCAAGCTCCGAGTTCACAGACAGCCCTGTTGCGCTGATATGAACCGCGGCTTTCAGCTCAGAGGCTAACGACCAGCAGCGTTTAGGGAAATGACTGCAAGCGACAGCGAGTTAGGTGCGGAAGTTCCGGCTGGCGCCTTCAAAATAAAAGAGATAACCACTATGAAGTAAAAACTGAAAAACAAACTGTGGAAAATGACTTATTATATATTTGTAGTAAATGGTAAAATGGTAAATGGCCTGTATTTATATAGCGCTTTTACTAGTCCCTAAGGACCCCAAAGCGCTTTACATATCCAGTCATCCACCCATTCACACACACATTCACACAGTAGTAGTTAATAACTGCTGGATGTCTTTTGATATGAAAAGAAATGTCAAGTTTGCTGTTTGTTTGGTTAGAATTGTTGTGCACTCGGTTACACTGCAGTATGTCTCTAATTGCTTTATTCTCCCATTGCATATAATGAGTCCAAACATTTGGTTTTGAATAGTGTCACTGCTATATGAATGGTTCTCAAGGTCCACCATGAATGAGCAATACAAAAAGAAAGAGTACTGAAATACTGAAAGTGACTTTATTTTCAGCCCTGAAGCAATGTGCCATTTGGGTGACCGAGTAACAATTGAATAAAAGCTGAAGCAAAGAACACGTTTGTACTGGACAATGTAAGAGACACCTGGCTGAATGGTAGTCTCGCATTTGACTCTTTGTAACCTAATAAATACAGACACACTAATTATACAGGTTGAAGATTTGGAATCAATCATATAAAAAGAATAAATGTTAATTTTCCCACATTTGCCTTCTTAACTTCAGTGAATTATATATTTATGTACATTTTTATTGACTCTAGTATTTAACACTGCACGACTGACACGTTTACAGTTTTGTGCTGCTTGAACAGTGTTCAACAATAAAGCAGTAGCAAAAACTTTAAAAATACTTGCACGTCTCATATTTTATAGACGGAGTGCAAAAATGATAGAAAAACAGTATATTGATCAATCTGGCCATTAGCTGCTACTTTTATTTTTTCCGGATCACCTTTATAAAGAATATTATTTTTAAAGACTTTTATGCTTTTATTATGAAGGAAATCCCATTTCCTTTAGTTTTTAATTTTATGGCGTAAACTTGGCACTGGCCAGGGAAACACACACAGACGTCAAAATAAACCACACCTTAAGTGGTTATTGTTTTTACCATCAACCAGTGAAAGTGAATGTAACTGGTTTTAAATCTAGTCAGTTTTAACCATGCAGTAGAGCTTAAACCAAAAACTAAATCTACAAAAACTAAATTAAAAAATATCTTAAGATTCTTAAAAAATATATGTTTGTGGGTTTTTATCAGTATAGGCACAGAGCTAACATATTGTATAGGGTTTTATGCTTTTATTTTTATACACACACAGATAGATAGATAGATAGATAGATAGATAGATAGATAGATAGATAGATAGATAGATAGATAAATTTATATTTATACTGGGATCATATTGTAACTGATTGCAACCTTAAATTCTTTCTGGATCTAATTAAATGTAATTATTCACAGATTGCTTGTTAATTCCCAACATTTCTCTCATGTTATATTCAGTTCCTGAAAGCTTAAATTTGTTGCAGCTGAAAAAAAAAGTCTTTATGTCTTTTAGCTGTGCTGCATTCTGATCTACTGAGACTATTCCTGCCAGAGGCTGTTATCTACTTTAGGTCAGCTCTGAGGAGAAATGGGAGACACGCATTAATTCTTCATTCATTAAGTGCCTGTTTATGGTGTTGTTCCCCTGCAACACTGACTAGTGTCAGTGCATGTGTTATCCATCAGAGCATATTTGGGCTCACACACTTCTCAGCTAGTTCTGTGTTAGATGCCTGCACTCTCAGTGCAGTTAGTTCTGAGCTCATTAGACCATTAGACAGTTCAGAAAGGAAACTGCTTATGAATCTGCAGCCAGGGGTGAAAGAAAGAAAACAAACAATGCTGTGCACAATTCATTGTTTCAAGAGAAATCATGCAGTAGCAAAAGATTTAGTTGGCGTTAGTGGATAAGACAATAGAAATATTCCCATAAAATGAAGTCAAATGAATGACAGAATATTAACTAAATCTGAGGTATAATATTTTACATTGAGAAATGTAATATTTGTTTATGTGTACTGAACATTACACGTTGTAGGATATTTGTCTGGCTTTGTGTGGATTTTTCTTAACCTTCAGGTTTGTTTGTTTTTTCATATATCTCTTGACCTCCTGAGCAATTTTATATTTTTAGAAAGTATTATTTAGTAGTTGGGCTTTTTTTCAAATCTTGTGTATAACGACTGGGAGTATAAGAAATGCTTTTTCCTAATAAATGTTGGTATTTGTTTTCAAATGGCAGCTATTGTTGTAATAAATAGGTTTTGCAGGACTTTTTTTCACAGGACAGCACAGACTCAATGAAAACGTCTTTTTAACCCGCTGATTTAATAGCTTTTATTACCAACATTAGCAGCAACAACTTGATGTAATTGCTTTCTGTATGACTTTTCTGATTCGTATCAGGAACCTTGAGGTATTTGGTAATGGTAAATGGTAAATGGCCTGTATTTATATAGCGCTTTACTAGTCCCTAAGGACCCCAAAGCGCTTTACATATCCAGTCATCCACCCATTCACACACACATTCACACACTGGTGATGGCAAGCTACATTGTAGCCACAGCCGCCCTGGGGCGCACTGACAGAGGCGAGGCTGCCGGACACTGGCGCCACCGGGCCCTCTGACCACCACCAGTAGGCAACGGGTGAAGTGTCTTGCCCAAGGACACAACGACCGAGACTGTCCGAGCCGGGGCTCGAACCGGCAACCTTCCAATTACAAGGCGAACTCCCAACTCTTGAGCCACGATCGCCGGTATGTGGAGGACTTCATGGTGGCTACGAAGCAAGCCCAAATCGTCACCCCTCCACTACTGTCTGTGGCAGTTAGCATGAGGTGCTTTTAATGACATGCTGCATTTGAATTATGGCAAAGCATAACTACTTTGGTCTCACTTACCTAAAGGGCATTGCTCCAGAAGTCTTGTGATATATTCAGATTCAGCTTTGCAAACATGAGCCATGCCGCCATGTTATTTTTAGAAAGAAGAGGCTTTCTCTGGCAACTCTTCCAAACAAGCCGTTTTTGTTCAGTCTTCAGTCTAGTTGAACTATTCTGAACTTCAACATTTAACATGGTAACTGAGGCCTGAATGGTTGAGACCAAAAAATTGCCCAAACTTTGGCTTTTATAGAGGTGTTTGCACTTGCTGATCAGTTAATCGAGAGCTTTTTATTAGCAGCACCTGGCTACAAATTAACCTCCTATTACATATGAAAGTAGTAAGGGTGTAGTTAGTTGGCACAGGATGGTGAGAGTTTTCTTTTTCAGATGACTGTACATTAGTTGGCTCTATTGGTGTAAAGGTTATAAATGATCATTTGTTGTCCAAACTCCACAATTTACTTCCAGTTACTCAGGATATCAATAACAAACAGACAACTATAGTTTACTGCATCTACCATCCCACTTATTCTGTTAATGTAAGAGTAGCCTGCAATGGCTGCAAAAGCACAAGTGGCTTTCAGAAAAGATCTTAGTTTTTGTTTTACCAGCACAAGAGTGCGAGTTCCTCTCTGTACACTTTCGTGCAGATTTTCGAGGTATTTGGGAAATAGGCTGTTCCAGGATCGCAGGGAACTTGCCAGTTCTTCTGTGGATTTATGTCTCAATTTCTTTTGCCTCTTCTTGCAGTGACGGGCCAACGCAGAGATGTTAAGATCAGGGCTCACTGACAAATCAACAATTGACAATGACTAATTAATATTAAAATCTGTAACATAATGTATTGTTTGGAGTTTAGTCTGTTACTGTTGCTATTTTTTTTTTTACCATTTCTTCTTGGAGCAACTGTAACCCACATAATTTCCTTAGGGATTAATAAAGTATTCTGATTCTGATTGTTTCAGGATGACCTGCCATTATCCAATGACACATCTGCTTACCTGTATCTTTTGCTCGTTTCTCTTCCTCTTCTTTTCTCTTTTTTCTAAACTGAGGACCTGATGGCTTTGAACTTTTCTTGTCCATCTTCCATTGGTTTTAATTTTGCACTCCAGTATGAACACAAATCCCCCAACTCGAGGATCGCCACAACTTAATCTAACACACCTACACCTTAGTTCACAGATTCACTTTGTCTAGGGTGCATTTCTGAGATTTCACACAACCCAGGATTCAAATCATGAATACATAATGGGCTTGGATTTACAACATTATAAATGAAATGTGCTCTATTTGGAAGAAGCAGGCCCCCCTCCCCTTAAATCATCAAACTGTAAATTTTAAATTGTTATTGATCCCTTTACCCCGAGTCCTAAAGTGTAATTTATTTTCTTACTCTTCTTATATATATTGTTTGTTTACTTGCACTGCTGTAACTGGAGCCTCGTCGTCTCATCTCTCTATATACTGGACTGTATGTAGCGGAGATGACAAAGTTTACTTTGACTTTAGCAGCGAGCAGGCGCACCGAGGGCTCTCGCGCTCACTTTTCGTGTACAGAATTTCGAAAAAACATTGGTGCAAATTATAAGTCTGTATTATAATGTCTGGTGTAGGGCTGCCACAAACGATTATTTTGATGGTCGACTAGTCACCGATTATTTTTGCGATTAGTCGACTAATCAGATCATGCATCCATTGGATGTAAAGTTTAATAAACTCCTTGCTATCTAAAATATAACGGGACACCGGAGTATATTCTCGAGCATCTCACACTTCTGATAATCAGTTGTCTGCTTGACGTTTATTCAGCTGTGTAAAAACTGTAACTTTAATCTCAGCCAAACCGATTTACTCAGGAACAAATAAAATACTAAAAAAAAGCCAAACAATAACATTTGTAAGTTATCTAAGTGACTTATATGTTTAACCTGAGTAGCGAAAGACAGTGGTGGGTTTGAAAACGATTTGCCGGGAGTCCGGTGTTCTCACGGCTCTAGTGAGCCTAGCCCCCGACTAGCTATCGAGCTAGTGGGTA